AGGGTGTGATTGAAAACAAACTTAACAAAGAACAAAAAAAAAACAATTAAAACTCAAACATAACTCAACTTTAACTCAATCTCACTATCACATTATTATCAATATAATTAAATAATATCACAATCATTCTTATACATCAGTCAATTTTAATTCACTATTCAACCACACATAATTTTAACTATCACTACACATCAATTGTCTCATATTTTTACATCAAATCAACTTGAATTGTTTTACTTTAAACATTAATTTCAATTTAAATTTAAACTTCCACTAACAACTAATCATACTATATTTTTTAAAATTAACTATGATTAACAAAAAAAACTAATCTTAAACCAATCAAATCCATTTTCAATCACACCCAGCCATAAGACTCATAAAAAGAAATTTTTTAATATAATTTGCTACAGTGACTTGTTAAACCTTGAGATCAGCTCGTTTAGGTTCGAACTTGACTCGTTATAGTGATAAAAAATTCGAGCTAGAGCTTGGTTTCTAACTCATTTATTTAACAAATTAAGTTCCGTTCGACCCGTTTTACATGACTACACACACGGTCGTTTTATGATTGAAAGATCATGAAAAAATAACCCGCGGTGAATAGATGATTGATTCTGAATAAATATATTTAATAAACTTTTTTGTTTTACCCCAAAATCTCTTAAAAATTTACACAACTTCCACAAAGATATTCCGATGTAGTCCAAATCTCCACCACTAATATCAACCACAAAAACAAATCCGACGTGGCAGCCTCACTCCACTTAAAAAATATAAAAATAAAAAAATCAACCAATCTCCACACGACAAGATAAGAATACAGATAAGCCTAGCCCTCCTCTCCACCGTCGGATCTACTCCCCCTCACAATCCAACGGCGCCGGCCGCCTCACCTCCAAAAATCTTTATCTCCATCACCACTCAAACCCTCGCACTATATCCCCAAACGAACCCAAACCACATAAATCTCACACACACACAAACACACAAAACCACTTTCTCAGTTTCTCCCCACCTGAAAACACCATCCGCCGCCATGGCAGCAGCCGCCTCCGCCGCGTCTTCGCTCATTGGAACCCGATCGGCCCGAATCCAGGCCCGATTCGGGTTCGGTGGGAAGAAACAGGTCCCCAAGCGGGCCGCCTCGAAGACCGTCGTCCCCGACCGGCCGCTGTGGTTTCCCGGCGCCAAGGCGCCGGAGTATCTCGACGGGTCGCTCGTCGGGGACTACGGGTTCGACCCGTTCGGGCTCGGAAAGCCCGCCGAGTACCTGCAGTTCGACCTCGATTCGCTCGACCAGAACCTGGCTAAGAACGTCGCCGGAGACATCATCGGGACAAGGACGGAGGTCGCCGACGTGAAGTCGACGCCGTTCCAGCCGTACAGTGAAGTCTTCGGGCTTCAGAGGTTCAGGGAATGCGAGCTTATTCATGGAAGGTGGGCCATGCTCGCCACGCTCGGGGCCCTTACCGTCGAGTGGCTCACCGGCGTCACGTGGCAGGACGCCGGAAAGGTATTTTTCTTTTTGCGATTTGCAGTATTGTATGTGCTTTTTTGTGACATATATTATCAAGATACACTAAGTTCATGAAATTTTTTCTGGAAGTTTGGATTGGATTTTCCCAAGTGTTTTTTTTGGGCTGGATTAGAAATTGTGAATACGAATTTTCATATATTAACACAATATGTTGTAAATTATGATTTATTTATTTTTCTTTTAATTCGAATTGCATGTGGAACTCTTTCATAAAGTTCGAATCGTATTTTACTAAGATAAATAATGTAAGTTACAACTTCTTGTACATTTTAACTATACACATGTGTGCTTTCTTGTACATTTTGACTACATAATACATGTTTGTGGGAACGATTACAGCCCCGTTGACGGAATTGTTCCGTCAGTATTTGTTACCGTAGATTATGTACACAACATAATTTACATGTGTATTCAATGGTGAAAAACACTGATTGAACATCTCGTAATCGGACCTTAGCATTTTCCCATGTTTATATCTACATGTTGTAAAGTTTTGCATATTGCAAATCATGAATGTGTATTTCAATAATACTGGAAACAAAAAATGTTTTAACAAACACTTAGTAAACGTAGCTGATAAGCTAGTTTATAGTTTTCAAGTGAATTTTGAGTTTATAGTTTTATGACTTATGACTGAAAAACTAGTTTATATAATAAAAATATTTAGTAACTAAAATAAAAATTTCAATTGGCTTATTTAAAAATGCTATCCAAGTAAGCTTATGAGAAAAGTTTGAATTTGTCCTACCAAATCAAACTTATTTGAATACAAGAAGCTTATTAGTTAGTCAAATAAGTTATAAGTTAGTTTATAAGCGACCAGTAAGTAATAATTGGAATTACTGGTTCAAATTGTTAATAATGTTAGGTTCCTAATATTGAATTCGTCCAATTCTCTTTGATTGAAATATTGTTCCTACAAATTTAATACCTTGAAAAAAAACCTCAAATTTTCTGTCAGGTTGAGCTTGTTGAAGGATCATCGTACCTCGGCCAACCACTCCCATTTTCCATAACCACATTGATTTGGATCGAGGTGCTTGTTATAGGGTACATCGAGTTCCAGAGGAATTCGGAGCTCGACTCGGAAAAGAGGCTCTACCCGGGCGGGTCGTACTTCGACCCGTTGGGCCTGGCGGCGGATCCTGAGAAGAAGGCCACGCTTCAGCTAGCTGAGATTAAGCACGCCCGTCTTGCTATGGTTGCCTTTTTGGGCTTTGCAGTCCAAGCCGCGGCTACTGGTAAAGGCCCACTTAACAATTGGGCTACCCACTTGAGTGACCCGCTCCACACGACCATCCTCGACACGTTCGGCTTTTTCTCTTGAAGCACTACTTTTTTGCTCCATCTATCTCTCTTTTGTATGTGTAAAAATTATGAAGTTGAGTATCATCATGAGTGTGTTCTCTCGTCTGTCTTTGTAAAAAAACTTGAAATACTGCTAAGTATTATTATTTGACATGCATAATTTAGTACTTAATTTTGTGATATTGTGATGAGGATAGTTTAATAGCTTAACTATTATTAATATCATCATTATTATTATTATTATTATTATTATTATTATTATTATTATTATTATTATTATTATTATTATTATTATTATTATTATCTCTTATTTATCTTTAAGGTGGTTAGAAGATATTTATATACTTGTTTGATAAGTTAGGGATTGTGGGAGATCTTGAACTTTATTTATTAGCAACCTGACAGAATGTACGATGAGTTTATCGATTGAAATAAAAATTTGTTCTTGTGTAGTTTATCAAGAGAGAGTATCTCATTTACGTGTTTTACGAGAGAGTATCTCGTTTACTCGTATTTTTTCCCATTTGTTCAGTTCCTCGCTACATCAGTTGTTATCAGACGTCAGGCACGATCGGACGATGCCGTCGACGAGAAGAAACATTGTGACCACCATTGCAGATCGATTCTAGAGGATGGATGATCGACTTCAACGGCTGGATGAACGATGCACGAATTTCTCTACCGGAATCGACGAATTACGCCAGACAATGAATACCATGATGAACGAGGTACGTATGAACCGCGAAGGGGCTGACCGGGGCCATCGCGTAGGGATACGCGGAGGTCGTGGGGGTCGAGGTTATTGCGGGGCGCCCCGCCGACGATCACCACCGCCATCGTTGACCGGTGATGTTCTGACGACACATCGGGGGACCACGACTTACGGTGGAGTGATGTTTTCGACAAACCTCCACGCAGGGTCGATGGCGACGAGCGCACGGGCGAGGAAATCCTAGGAGCGGCCCGATTTCGCAGTCAACAACCACCTCAGGAGGGTTTTGACTACCACTTTCCGCTCCACCGAGCAGCCCAAGATGGCGAATTCCGAAGACCTGCTTCAAGTTTCAGCCCCAATCATGAATTTCGCAGACGGGGGCCCGATCGAGAGGACTCGACCTTCACTGTGTTCGAACTGCCACGCCACTGCTGGGACGACGGGTCCGCGGCTGCCGGCTACGGCGGCGCTTACCAACAGCGAATGGAGGCGCCCGATTTCCACGAGTTGCACTTCCCCGTGAAAAATTTACGTCATGTTGAGGCGGGCTGGGGTCGGGTTGGGCACAACATCGCTGAGGACGCCGACGACTACCATAGTCGCGCTTCCTGGCAGGACGAACAAACCCTAGGCGATTTTCGGCGACGGGCACAACGGAGGCCAGACGGAGGACGTGCAGCAGCCTCGGAATTTGACGACCGAAGCGCCGCTAAGGGAGGGCCCGATTGTTCGGGGCGCGACCGGCGAGAGACCGACGCCGCATTAGCGGAGGTGCAGGGACGAGAATTTTCTGGTTGTTGGTGTCGCGATTTGGGAGCTGCGCAAAGTCGTCGAAGAGAAGCAGATTTCTTGCAACCTTTTGGGCTTTTGCAACGGTCCAAATCCATTTATTGGTCCCATGTGAGAGATATATTTAATTCAGATTTTTGGGCCCGTGAAGTCGCTGCAGAAGTTGGGCTTGTACACAGTGATTTTGGGAGCGATTTTGGTCAATGGGTGGGCTTGTTTCGCGCTGATATTCCTAATTTCGATGAGGATCACGTTGACGGGCCAATGTACGACGGTCCGCCCATTTTTGATGAGGAGCCTCTGATGACGAGAAAATATTTTTACAGTAATATGGGTCCCGCGTGGGACGTCGCAACGGTTGAGTCTTTGAATGGGAAGCAGTCATCCACACCCAATTTTTTGAGTATTTTGGCCAAAGATGTTTTTTCGGAGCCGACGCCGATACTCAATGACTTGGCCATTTTTCGATTGCCTATCGCGAAATCTCCCAACAACGGGATGCTTGGCCGTTGTTTTGGACTTAAGCGCAAAAATTGATGTGGTATATTTTGTGTTAATTCGGCTTTGCGACCGGTGACGTGTACATGTGCCTTCGCGTCATTTAAGTCCTTGACCGAGGTTATGCTTACGTTTGTGGTTGTTGGAAGACGTTCAACATTTGTGTTCGATCGAGAGAAATATCCGGGGTATTCTTGTCATGGGGACGACTCCAACATGAACGAGTCAGATTCGAGGCCGAATCCTGCTCAACCGGGTGAGAATGATGATGATAGTTTAATAGCTTATTGTTATTATTATTATTATTATTATTATTATTATTATTATTATTATTATTATTATTATTATTATTATTATTATCTCTTATTTATCTTTAAGGTGGTTAGAAGATATTAATTTACTTGTTTGATAAGTTAGGGATTGTGGGAGATCTTGAACTCTATTTATTAGCAGCTTGACAGAATGTACGATGAGTTTATCGATTGAAATAAAAATCTGTTCTTGTGTAGTTTATCAAGAGAGAATATCTCTTTTACGTGTTTTACGAGAGAGTATCTCGTTTACTCGTATTCCTTCTCATTCGTTCAGTTCCTCGCTACATCATATTGTCAATCAAGAGCAATAAAAAGAGGATAATACACATACATAAATTTATAAAAAATAAAATAAAATTTAGTTTGAATGGATCTTCAATTAATTGCATAAAAAATTCGTTGACTTATTTTCATTGCTTATATTGCATATTTAAATAATTTGGACCTTTTTAAATAAAAAATCCGTTGCGTTTCAGTCGAGTCCGTCTACTTTTAGATAATAATTGCTTAAATAGTTTTGTTAAATATGTGATATTTGACCAACATGGTTGACTCAAGTGGTAAGCAGCTTGATGTTCTTTAAGCAAGGTCTCGGATTCGAGTCCTTGTGAATGCAGAAAACTCTTGTTGGGAGACTCACCTACCATTGCAAGTGGTCGACCTAAATGTGCGACCTAAGTCGACCAACGAATTAGTCGGGGCAACACTCCAAATATCGTGGTTGGCTAAAAAAAATATCAGATATTTGGTGCATTTATAATAGTTATAGACTATTTTTACTTCTACCAAGAAGAAATTGGATAGTTTTCGTAATTTTACTGAAGAACATTAATTTTTTTATTTTTTTATTTACCGTGTTTGCATACACGTAGACATAACCAAAGGTGATTGTGCAACTTGTATTGCCTAGAACAAGTCGGACCACTTTTAGTTAATAATTGCATAATTTTATATGAAAAATTATTGAATATTTATTTGACTTTAATCGCACTAGTACAGGTCCGTGCGATGCACAGGGTGTAAAATTTTAAGTTCATCTATCCAGCCTTATAATTATATAAATGAATAAAGAAATATGTACGGGATATATAAAGTACGTAACATGTGCGAGACACGAGATATATTTATTCGGGGATTATTATACTACAAGATGTAATATTCACTAAAAGTTTTACAATGCACGAAAATAAATATAAATAATGTAAATATCTATACATACACGATATGTAGAATAAGTAAGCCAAATTGCAAATATGAAAATATAATTAAAAAAATCGAAAATATATTTCACTAAACATGTACAAAAATATCTAAATACATACACGAAAATAGAAAAATTAAAATATCCGTTTCAAATTTCGAAATTAAAATAAAAATTCAAATTATTAGGCTTACAGTTTTATCATGCAGAACCAACTCGATATATGATTTGTATGTGTTGCCCCATTCTTGGAAAAACATTCTCACAATTCAAACTTTGAGCATAGGTCTATTAGACCTATTGACTTATTTAATTAACTCAAATCCCTGATTCATTGTTTTGAATAAATGATTGATTGAGAATATTTTTTGCTCGCAGGAGGTTGATAGTGACGAAGATGATGACTCGAAATTTTGAGATTTGTAATTTATAATGGGTAGAGTAGATATATATTGATGTTAATATTTTTATAAAAAATTTGAATCTGAATATACATAAATCGGTTTGAACAAAATCAGAACAGATTTCAATACAAGTAGATAATAAATAAAGTCATTTTTATTTTAATAAAGATTTTACGTACTTTTATTTTTTACTTATCGGATGTTATGGGATTTTTTTTTATTAAACCGATTCTATGGGATATAATAAAAATACAATTAGAGAATTGAACAAAATCAGAACAAATTTCTATATAATTAGATAATAAGAAGGAATTAGATAAGGAAAATAAAGAATTAGATAAAGAAATTTTGAATCTGTCTTTTTTTTTCAGTATAGATAGACTTTAAGTACAAATTTTGACTTCACCGATTTTAAGGGCTTTGTTTTGATAAAATCGATGTTAATATGGAATAAGACAAATAAATAAAGTTTTATTTATTTTAGTAAATATTTTGCATCTTTTTCTACTTATCATATGTTAGGGATTTTTTTTTTCTTAAACTGATTTTATGGGATATAAAACAAATAAAATAAAAATACACGTTCAACTTGAAAAAAAAAGGTAAGAACAGATTTGTGATCAAATATTTCCATACAAGTTTTATTTCTTGATCTTATCAGATTTTGTTTTTACAAAACTGTCTTAATGAGATAAAATTGAAAATAAATACACGTAATTAATGCACTTGATAAGATTAGAAAGTTATTAATTAATGTTGACTATTCTACCTACTGAAATTAGTAAATAAGTTTGCTTATAATATAAGTATAGATTATTTAATTGCGAATTATAAGATTTCTCGTCAAAATCATGTCCACCCCATCATCGTCGAGTTCTAGCCTAAGCCATTGACCTCTTTCTCTAAAAAAAAAAAAAAAATCATTTAAACACTCTTCAAAGGTTGTTGAATCATTTATGGATGTGCACTCAGAGACCCACTTTTTCCTCTTTGGACCTACATTTTACCTTTTAACTGTAATTCAATCTATTAAATAGAACATCTCACATTTTTGCCTACTAAATGAAGGCAGATGCTATGGTCTCGTTACGAAACAATATTGTCGGAGTTTGTAACCGTGAGGGATAGTTGATTTAACGGTTACAAACCCCGACGGAATAATTCCGTAAAGGAATCGTAGCATTTTCTACTAAATGAATGACCACATTAACATGTATCCATTGTTTAACAAAAAAAAAAGAAAGAAAGACATGTATCCATTTAAATGCCACCTAAATAAAGTAATGTGGATGCTATTTATAAAGTTGGTGGCCATTTTTATCACACATAATTTTTCAAACTTTCAATATGAATAAACTAACCAACAAGGTTTGACTCAAATGGTAATCAGTTTGATGTTCTTTAAGCAAGGTCTCGGGTTCGAGTCCTTGTGGATGCAGAAAACCTTTGTTGAGATACTCACCCACCACTGCCAAGTGTGCGACCCGAGTCGACTAACGGATTAGTCGGGACATAGTTCCAGATACCGTGACTGGCTACAATAAAAAAAATATGAATAAACTAATAAAAAAAAAACAATCTGACCCAGCCCACTACCCCGATTTCAACTCAAACGCGACAAAATTGTATGAACCGAACCGTAGGCAAAAACCACCTCAAAAAAAGCGCTTTCAGTGAGCAGCTAAAACTAATCGTCATCAACTCATCATATTATCATCAACACGAGATAAACCATTAAACCTGCGAGTTATAATGGTAGCTACTGTACAATTTTTCACAGCTTGCTTTTAGCTAGCTGTGTGAAAAGATGATCGAAAAAAAAAATAATAATAATAATTCAAATGCCGCTGTACATCACCATCATCGCCTGTCCATTTTTCCCCCAAAATTTATTACTTTTTTTTCCTCTTCTTCACGTTGTCAAACACTGCAGCAGCTCCCAAAGTCCACCGCAAAAAAAAAAGTTGATTAGGCACTTAAAATCTTCAACCAGACAACACCCCTTCTTAATAATACTATTTTAATGTCGATTGTTGAGGTTTATAACCACATTTTAGGTGCATACATAAGTTCATCCTGTAAAAACCCCAACAATATTTTCTCACTCTTTCTTCATTTCTTGCTTCTTTTATTTGTTATTGGCTTTGTGGGTTCGTACACTTTTTGCTTGGTGTGATGTTATTTCTTTAAATTTTATATATTGTTCTGTAGATTTACAGAAGAATGGTGATTAAAGATTGAATTTTTATTTTCTTGGCGTTGTGTGAAAAAAAAAAAAAAAAGTGATTATGTTTTTTTCGACATGTTTTGGAGCGTTTGGTTCTGGCAAAGGGAGTTCTACAACTGAACCCGAAGGTAAAATTAGGCTATTTAGTTGCTTGTTTTACATGTATCATCAATTTTTTGTTATGCTGCTCAGAGTTTTCTGTTGGCCTTTTCTGGTCATTTCTTTAAAGTATTGTTGATAATGTTGATTTGAGTTCGATTTTGAGTTGAAAGCCTGTGAAGTGAGAAGCTAAAAAAAGGGTTGGGTCTTTTTGTTCTGCAGATTGTTGTAGAGTTGGGTTTTCTATCACTGCAGATATTAAAGAAAGTGTAATTTCGGTTAAATTTGTCCATAAGAATGTGCTTCGAATTTTAGGAAATGCTACAGTCCCTTTACGGAACTATTCCGTCGGGATTTGTAACCGTTAGATCATCATGTAACCATCGTGGATAGTTGATCTTATCGGTTACAAACCACGACGGAATGGTTCCGTAACGAGACCGTAGAATCTCCCTTGAATTTTGAACTGTTAACAAGACTTGATAGACAACATTGACATTTGTGAAGTGAGTAAAACCGCCCTCGAAACTAAAGATTTATCTCTTGATGTCTTGTTTTCCTCTGAATGTTCTCTGTTTTATACTTTTTAACATGTGGAACATTATTATAGGGCCTTCTTCTCCTAGCATTATAGTTTGCCGATTATTTGAAACATTTAATGGTTTCTTAATCTGATTTTTTTTTTTTTTTCCTTACTTGGTCAGATGATGTTGCTATAAATAATGTCAGGCTCTTTACGTATCGCTCTTTGCGATCAGCCACAAGGCTTTTTCATCCATCGAACAAAATCGGACGAGGTGGTTTCGGGGTCGTTTATAAGGTGGGTTTTTTAAATTTGAATGTCGCAAATTTTGTAATTAAGATGTCTTATTTTTCGTGTGCAATTCTGTTTAAATTGCAGGGAGTTTTGAGGGATGGGACTCGAGTAGCTGTCAAGTCTCTTTCGGCCGAATCCAAACAAGGGGTTAACGAGTTCTTGACCGAGATTAATATGATATCCAATATACAACACCCGAACTTAGTTCGGCTCGTTGGCTGTTGTGTTGAGGGGACTAACCGAATATTAGTGTATGAATATTTGGAGAACAATAGCCTCGCCAGTTCCCTACTCGGTAAGTAGCAGTAAAAATTATAACATGGAACTTAAAAGAGTATTTTTGCAGTTGATCCCTAAGGATTATGCTAGTTTTCTTTCTCTCATTTGATTTGAGGCATTATTTTATCAGTCTCGAATGGCAAACGTGTTGGGCTGGATTGGTCCAAGAGAGCTGCAATATGCTTAGGCACAGCCTCGGGACTCGCGTTCCTTCACGAATGTGCCGAGCCGTGCATTGTCCATCGAGATATAAAGGCAAGCAATATCCTTCTCGACGAGAATTTCCTCCCTAAAATCGGAGACTTTGGATTAGCAAAGCTATTTCCTGATAATGTCACCCACGTCAGCACACGGGTAGCAGGAACAGTGTGAGTACAGCAAAACAACTTTATACCGGAAAAAAGGAAAAAGATATTATGGATTATTGCAAAAATGTGCCCTTTTTTAACATTGTGATTTGTGATTGCAAAATGTCGCTCTATCTTTAGTCGCGAAAGTCGAAAGGCAAGTTGGCATTTTTAAAATATTTCAAGAAATATTTTATATTAATCTCCATTTTCCCTCGTAAGTTTCGACAAATTGTCATTGTGCAGGGGTTATCTAGCTCCCGAATATGCAAAGCTGGGTCAACTCACTAAGAAGGCCGATGTGTATAGCTTTGGGGTACTCTTGCTCGAGATTATAAGCGGCGAAAGTAGCAGTAAGGCCTCTTTTGGGGACGATTTCTTGGTTCTGCTCGAATGGGTCAGTTTTCTTTACCCATCTTGATCGAGCTATTAGGCATTTCTTTGTCGATAGAGATAATAACTTGTACAAGTGAAACTCGAAATTTTGAGGATTAAAGCTATGTTTAGTAAAACTAGCTGATAAGATAGTTGATAGCTTATAAATGATTTTCGAGCTGATAACTTATAACTTATGACTTGTAGCTAAAAAACTAGTTTATATAATAAAAGTGTTTGTAAAGTTAGTTGATAAACTAGCTGGAAAAAAAAATAAAAATAAAAAAATCAACGAGTTTATTTAAAAAGTTAACCCAAAGACAAGCTCGAGCTTTTGAAAAAAAAAAAACTCGTCGTACCAAACAAAGCTTATTTGAATACAGAAAACTTATATAAGCTAACCAAATAAACTATAATATAGCTTATTTAGTTAACAAACATGGCCTAATTATGAAAAGTATCCTTGAATTTTCAAAACTACATAATGTCATAATCTAATTCTTCAATAAGCTAATTCACATAATTTTGTGTATCTGTATATGTATATGCAGACTTGGAAATTGTACATCGAGGGTCGGGTTTTAGAGCTTGTGGACCCGGACTTAATTGACTACCCGAAAGACGAAGTCACGCGCTTCATAAAAGTCTCACTATTTTGTACGCAAGCGGCTTCTCAACGCAGACCAGACATGAGTCAGGTGGTAAGAATGCTGTCGACCAATGTTAATCTTAACGAGAGCTTGTTGTCAGAGCCTGGATTTTACAGGCCACAAAAACCGAGAGGTGGGGCCTCATCTCGTTTGGACAAAACGAAACATTTGGTTAGTCCTTTTGTGAGCTCGACTCAGTCAAAGGTTGCCTTCACAACTAGTACACATATGTTGCCTAGATAAATAATGGTACAAAGACTACGTTTGGTAAAACTAGTTGATAGCTTATATGTGAATTTCGAGCTTATAGCTTATGACTTATGGTTGAAAAACTAGATGGTGTGATAAAAGTGTTTGATAAAATTAGTTGATAAGCATGCTGAAATAAAAATTTCAACAGACTTATGTGAAAAGTTACCTAAAGAGATAAGCTCGAGCTATTTAAAAAAACTCGTCCTACCAAATCAATCTTACTTTTATACAAAAAGCTTATAAATTAACTTATGGTGCTTAATTACCAAACACGCTCGGAGAATAATTAAGCTTTACCTTGTTTATATGACTACATTCTTTTCTTATATTCATCACACCCAAAATTTTGTGTTTGAGCTTCACAAGAAGTTGAAGCGTTCGGGAAAGATCTGTCAGTTTCCCGGGCTT